CATACACTTTGTACGCTATATTACGTTATGTTTACACATTATTTCCATTCAATGAGTTTCATATCAAATACATTGAGAGCGAGAGAGAGAGAGAGAGAGAGAGAGAGAGAGAGAAGAGGGGTATTAAATGTCGGGGAAGGGATGAAAGTGTGATAAGCGATACTCACTTCTCCTCCATCGACTACACGAGTGGATGAGATGTTAACATAACTGACAACTTTGGCGTCAGGCGTCACGTAATCGCCGGCCCGGAAACGCGCAAAGCTAGGGACGGGCCAGTCATCTAAGTACCACTTGATCTGCGGCAACGGTGTGGCCGACGCCGAGCACCGGAGCGACAATGAAGTGCTCGACTCAACGATAATGTCTTTGAATGTGTCGACAATGACGGGCGCGATGTCTCCCAATTTGAGTTCAGCCGTCGCCTGACTCGAGTCGTACTCCGATTCCGCCAAACATTGATACGAACCTAACATATAATGCATTTTTGTGTCATTATTATTATTATTACTTATATTATTATTGTATTTGCTTTCATAACGATTGGTTTTTGTTGCGGTAAAGATTTGTGGAAAAATTAATTTAATTTAATTGATATTCAAATAGAGAGATGAGAGCCTGTGTTATGCCTATCGGTTAGTGTCACCGGAATATCAGAGCTTAAAATATTCAATTCGTTGATTCAATTTATTTTGTCATTTTTATGTCAACCAAAGAAATGTCGTTAATATTAAATCCATGAATATATAAATGGCTGTCAATTCTGGTAATACTATGATAACATATATTTGAAAACTCGGATATAACCGACGAAATGTGCTAAACATTTACACAAAATTAATTGATTTATTGCTCTTCTATGAGATTAAAACAGTATTTTTTTATTAATTCTTCAAATAATAATTAGTTAGAAAAATATTTGACTTATTTTTCCTTTCGTTCATTTGTTTGTTATGGGAAACGAAAGGACAAACTCTTCTCATCTCTTGTGTTATAAAAGTTAATTATATTTATTACTTGTTATAAACGAGAAAACAATTGATTAATGAATAGCAGTGCAAATAGAGAGCGAAAAGGAAAGGCAGTAAAATGATGGCCACAATAATGAGGACAGACATTACATACCGGAGTCTTCCCTAATAACAGAACGTATATATAAGACGTTTGAGTCAATCAATCGGATCCTATCGTCCAAATTGAGTCCAACGCCACCACTAAACGGATCGGTTATTAAAAGGATGCCATCCTTGAGCCAAACCAGTGGCAAATTGATTGGTCCGCCCCTTACTGTGCAATTAAATGTGGCCGACTTTCCCACGTCGACCACCAGCCTCTGCGGCTCCAGATGTACGCCAATCGTTGAGATGACCACCAGTTTTATTATCACTTTCTCTTCGCCTAATGTGTTGTTCGCCACACAAACCCATTTGCCGGCGTCTGACGGCCAGACCTCGCTTATCATTAGAGTGCCGTCAAATTGCTGCACATGTGTCCCCATCACTACACCCGACAGCGAGGACTCGTCCTCTTTATACCATCTGACAAAACCCAAACCCAATTAATGAAACCATTAAATCCACTTTAAATATCAATACCTATTTAAAACTATTCTCCAATTATAAAATACAAATTAGTTTTTGTGTCATAAATATTGTTTACTTTAGCCCAACATTAACTCCAATAATACAGTGAATGTCTTATAATAATTTTCACGGACTTTCAATTAATTGAATTAATATCGAAAGAAATCAATCATTTTGAAGGCGAGAAAATCCATTTAATTGGAGCTCAAAATAATCTAATAGACATCAACTCTTAATTAGCCCTTTTTGGGCGACACTAACGCTAAACTGAACTGTATATTGAATTTGACACAAAATACCAACAAAAAAGGCTAGTTTTGCAACAAAAAAAACTTTTTCTCCTAACTTATGATTAAAACGAAATATAAGTTTGTGGTAAAAATATATATATACAATATATAATCAATAAATAGTCAATTATTACCTGTATTTAGGGGGCGGCCAGGACTGAGCAACACAGGGCAGTTCGCAGAGATCGCGTTCAAAGCACTTGACTTGACTGTGAGACCAAATCCTGGGCGCAATAGTCCCGTGCGGTTCTGACAAACACACAGATAATTGTTACTAATTCTGATGAATAGCTGACAGATTAATACAATTAAATGAAATCAAAGCCTAGGAGTCTATGAGTGAGAGCCAGAAATCTGAGGCGTTTTAGTTTCTGCCGCAGAGAAGTAGCAAAAAAATTTATATCAGAAATTATTTCCTATTTTTCTATCTTATGTCTCAAAAGCCAACACATTATCGATCAGTGAATGAGGAGTGAGTTTTAACGACTTGGGAGAGAAAAATGTGCTGAAATTATTACCGTATTTGTTATATACGTATGTATTTGTGATAAAGAGTCTGACAGTTAATCAAAGACTTTTTCCTCAACACTACTTCGCATAACAATACTCTTTACTAAACCGTAAACTAGAAAATTACGGTACATTTTATGCCAACAAAAGTATAATGACATTTAAATTACTGTCTCTCCTGTCAATCAATCGCTGCATAAAATGCTGGAATAATTTGCAAAATATTTTGTGATATTTTTTTGTGCAGAATATTCTAAGTTTTGGTTCAATTCGTTTCACTTATTTTCTTCTTTCCGATAACAAAATGTATGGAGAAATGAACGGAAAGTAAAATCAATTTGTCTGTAACTCCGAAATCAAATCCCAGTCCCCTTTTAATAAAGGCCACTGTGTTTACAATCGCTGCACTGAATATAAACACTAATAAAAATTAAGTGAATTCTATAAATCAAATAAATGTATATTTAAGTCTCCTATAGATTTGTGCTCTAATATAGATATATTGGTGTATAATATAATTCATATACAGTAGTAATAGTGTACTTATATTGCAGATATAGGGAGAGAGAGAAATGAAATTGTATTGAATTGAATGATGCAATAGTCGTCGACAAGAAGTGTATTATACAATACCTGTCACTATAAGACGGCCGGCAATAGAAGAGGTGAGCACTTCGTTTGTGAGTTGATGTCTGGTCTGACACCGATATGAGCCCATATCAGCCTTCGATGCGTTCCTTATTTGCAATTCTCCGCTCCCGAGGATTATATATCGACCGAACCCTACAATATGTAAAGCATACGTACAGTTAGTATATACAGTACGGTTAGTACAGCGAAATATTGTATGGAAATATGATGTTAAGTCATGCAATCCCTTCCCTTTACATCCAATGCGAGAATATACTGTATATTGAAATTGAAAACTCGCTGTAAAAATATATTTTTATATATATTTCTCACTCTTCTCTAAACCCTTACATATTCTCTGCACAGAGAAAAAGATGCATAAATTAATTTTACTGTTTGTATGAGTTATGCTTTCTTACAAATATTGTAAGTGTTAGTGTTTGAGATTGAGTGAGACTGGAGAGAGAGAGAGAGAGAGAGAGAGAGAGAGAGAGAGAATAAATTGTATCTTTAATCAAATTATAAGATGTGATAATTTAATAAAAATGTGTTTCGCATGGATTCGCATATATTCTAATGCAGAGTATTTTCATGATATTATTTTCTCAATGCTTTGGATAAATATAAAAATAACATAAAGACTTTGATAGCTATTAAACGCAATGCAAAATGAGACGAATGTCTGATTTTATTTTAACACAAAAAACTAGGAAATGAGTGGAAGTCGTGTCGCCCGGAGCTCTGCTAACAGATTAATATATAAGTTATATGTAGTTTAATGCAGGACTGAGTGATCAGGAAAGCAATTACAACACCGAGAAAAACATCAAATGAAAGGCCAAACATTAAACATTCAATTCGTTGAGTATATGATTCTCACTGTCTGTCTGTTTCACACAAATTGTAGTAATAATTGCCGCGAATGAGAGGGAAATCGTCTCAATGTTTAATTCAATTGATAATAGAAATGTATGGCAGAGAGAGAGAGAGAGAGAGAGATGAAATTGTATTGAATTGAATGATGCAATAGTCGTCGACAAGAAGTGTATTATACAATACCTGTCACTATAAGTTTCAAGTGTCAAAATATGATAAATTTCATGATATTTGTGCCGTTTGGGAGTGGTTTGTGTGAGAGATAGAAACAACTCCTGAGAAGTGATGTGTGAAAAATATTGTATAAAATATAATATGTTTTTTGTGTTCAGTTTTGAAAGAATATATAACAATATTCTGTATATTCTATGAGCAAAACTGAGGGCAAAAGCCGTTGGACTTTTGAAAGAGAAAAAAAAACAATAACACAACGATATGAATAAATGTCTCAATACTTGAAATAATAAAAATAAAAGTGTAATAAAAATATGAAACATTTTGATCGAAATAATTAGCTAGATTATTTAAAGAGCTTATCGTAAAATTACTAGATTTTTACTTAAAATATGTTTAATTATAAAAATTTAATTGTGCTATACTAACTTTATATACAAAATAAATTTATGTGACATTTTATTTTAACAAAATTTCAATAAATACTATTAAATAAGAAAAACTAAATAATGATTATAATTCATATTAATGTGATTATCTGTGAGCGGATATACAGTATGTCAGTGTAAAGGCATTCATATGTTTTATCGTTTTCGTGACTTATAAACACAATGGATATATTGGGAGCACAAGTATTATAGTCTAGTCGTGATTTTGAGCACAAGTAGATCCGATAGAAATACAGAATATATTCTGACATTAAGTACATTCTGGGTTTAGCTCTCGTATAAGAATATACAGTACTAATAATAATATGATATCATATAATATAATATCGATTCAATTTTCCTTAACTTTTATTTCTTCCCTTTCCTTATGATAGAAAATGTTTTTAAAAAATAGTTTTGGTTTTTCATGGGATTCTTCTGTGACATAAAATAGAGAGAGAGAGAGAGAGAGAGAGAGATGTCAATTAAGTTATATGTCAGCCGTGGATAAGATCTCTTTCGTGTGTCAAACAAAAATCTTAAACTTTTTATGTTTATTTACTAACCGTACTGTATATACTAACTGTACGTATGCTTTACATATTGTAGGGTTCGGTCGATATATAATCCTCGGGAGCAGAGAGAGAGAGAGAGAGAGAGAGAGATGAAAACTATTAGATCTAGTGATAGATTTAGTCAATGAATGAAAAGAGCATTTATTTGATATAATATTATATGAGTATTGTATCGGAAAATCGAAAGTCTATTTGTGTGAACACAACACAAGAATCGTGTGAATAAGTGAAGAGAACAAGAGATTCGCTACAGAATTGATAGCAAATTATTGGGAATTAAAGCTTAAACTATAAGACGAGAGCGAACTGAGAGTGAAATCAGTCGAATCGGACAACAAATGAGAATTTCATATAATGTACGAAATGTACGAAACAAGTAGTGGTATATAACTAGTGGAGAGACAATGAAATTGTTTTACGAATGCCATCATTTGGTTTTGTGGAGATTGATATTGCATGTCATGGATGGCCGTGTAGTATACGGACGCGCCGGCACAGGCACTGTACGACAGGCACTGGTATCGAACCGGATAAGTATCTCGTGGGGAGCATTAGACAACATATACACTACATCTCTCGCATACAGTTTAGACAAATAGTGCATCACTTGTACAAGAAGTTGTGGATAGTGTTAGCGTACTGTATGTGTTGTATAGCGAGGGCACACATACCATGACAATGACATAACTGTGCGGCACTCGATTGCCGGTGCCATCGATGGCACAGCACTGTCGACGCCGCTGTAGTAAATGCTAATTCACATCAGAGTTGTACTCATTGTGAATACAAGCGGCTGATGTGTCGGATCGAGAGGCAGATAACGGTCGCGCACAGCATAATAAAACTTATGGCAATCAATCATTACAGCCAACAGTGCCTAAGGGTTGCAGACACGAGACGAGCCGATGATTAATCGCTAATACAATTCCCTCAACAAAATAGGTTTTCTTGTGCATCGGATTAATGCTATTTTCGCTGTCGATTGAGACATGTTTTTATAAAAATTTTGTGTAACAAGTAATCGTATATATAATGTATAGTAATTTGAAATATTCATCAACTCTTTCCCCATCGTCTCGCTATCAATGATAGACACAACACATATCAACGATGAGCTGAAAATAGCAGTGAATAACAGTTTTTGTTAGTTTTTTGCTGCCCTTCTGTACTGATAAGGCGTAAGAATATTCTGCACTCAACTCTCATGAGTAGGAATTTTTTTGTGTAAAATTTTTATGCTTTAATTAAAGTTGTTTTTTCGTCAGTTAGCGTTATCTTTGAGTTTTATCGTGAATAACATTATTATACTTATTCTATTAGGCATTAAACTAGAAATAAATTACACTTTCAATACACACTACAAAACGGTGTATCCGTTATATTGGGGGCTAATCTGTAACTCATTTATCTCTTATCTTTCTTATCACAGGAGAGATAAAATTCTTCGCTATAATGTAAACGAATCTGTTTTTTAATAGACAAATATTGTTGTTTAAAATCGATATTAATTTTAAAATGTGAACAAAACTTATTGCTTGATTTTGATGTGCAAATAGAAAGCAATCTCAATAAATACTTTTTTGGTCGATATGTTTTTGATCACATTTTCTGTAATATAATAATGAATTTTTGAAACTTTTGAATGAAGAATAAAATTAAAACAAAATTTTGCAAACATTTTCTCTACAAAAAATAGCAGTAAATAAAGCATTATTATTATTAGTATTTTCTCAAGACTTTATCACGATTTGTATTCTCGAGGAATGAATGAAGAAATACAGGTTTGCGCTCAAAGAATATGTGTATGTGTTTAGTGCACACAATTCTTAGCAAAACTGTTTTGTGTATATAATCGTTGAGAATATTTCAATTTTGAACAGTAAGTAGAAAAAAGTGCTGCCCTTTAATATCACAAGTTAGGGAGAGAAAGAATGAGAGAGAATGAGTGAGTGAGTGAGTGAGTGAGTGAGAGAGAGAGAGAGAGAGAGAGAGAGTTATGCTTTCTTACAAATATTGTAAGTGTTAGTGTTTGAGATTGAGTGAGACTGGAGAGAGAGAGAGAGAGAGAGAGAGAGAGAGAGAGAGACGAGATGAGTAAAACTGGTAATGCGAAAACCCCAACAACTGGTTGTGTCTCACAATTATTATTATTATTATTATTTTGTCTTTCTTTTCTTCTTTCTCTCCCTTTTTTCCATTTTCAATACAAAACTTTATAGATTTGAGGCAAAGAAGAGAAGTCAGAAAAACAGAAATTTCTATTCATCTTTGGATTCATTTCCCGCGGGATATGTGTTGTCTCTCCGATAGAAACGCTCGGAATGGCAGCAATGATGGCAGCAATGGTTGTAAAAATATCTTATTGTAGAGCACCATAAGCTCACACAACACTCTACTATATTGGATACCGTTAGCCATATATTGGGGAAAACTTGAAAATATTTTACAATC